AAAGGTAGCATTCTTAGGATGATCAAGGCATTGTCCAGGAGTGTCGAGCAAGTATATTCCATTCGCTTCATGGCCACTCCCAATCACCCTCTGAGACTCCAAATCCTGAAAAACATAGTGGGAAGGAAAGAAGGTTACACATGACTTGGTTAAGCTACTTACAGATAACAAATTGGTATTTAATCTAGGTACATGAAGAGTGGAAGATAGGAGTAAGGAGTCTGTAGCCTTGGCAGTTCCCTTGCTAGAAATAGAGGCAAGAGAGCCATCGGCTAAGGTGATTTTGTCACGACCAGGAAGTAAATCATATGAAACAAACAAAGTGGAAAGGTTGGTCATGTGATCAGAAGCACCTGAGTCTATGATCCAAGGGGTCTTAGGATTACCTGAAGTGGTTGCATGGTTAGCAGAAGCTCTTATACCTGAGTGAGAAAATGCAGAGGTGGCTGGACTTCCTAAAGGGTTGGATGATGAAGTTACACCTTCAAGATGACTGATCATCTTCCCAAACTTTTCATACTCAACTTTCATGGCCGCCAACTGTGCACAGGCAAACTCAACTTCAGCATCTGTACCCGTGCCTGCATTTGCACTCCCTGTCTTTCTACTATCATTTTTCTTTTGGAATCGAGCAGGAACAAGACCGGGATGTAATTTCCAACACTTGTCCTTGGTGTGCTTCGGCTTCTTGCAATATTCACAGACAACCTCCTTCTTTCTAGTGCCATCAGGAGCCCCTATAACTCCTTTGGGTTTAACCCCCATATTTGCAAAGTGATCATTAGTGTCAACCCCTTGAACCTGTACCTGTCTTCTGCTCTCTTCACTGCTGACCAAAGCATATGCTTGTGATAATGAGACACTTTCCTTGGACAAAATATTTTGTTTTGTGATGTCATATTCAGGGTTTAGTCCAGTTAGAAACTCAAAAACCCTGTTTCTTTCAACCAATTTCCTGTAAATTTCTGCATCATTGGAAGTATCCCATGTCACGGCCTCTATCAGATCAATTTCTTGCCACAGAGATTTCAAGGTTGAGAAATATACCGCAAGGGATTTCTCCCCCTGTCTTAAATTCTTTACATCACTCCTTAGTTTATAGGCTCTAGCTACATTTAGTTTATGGGAGTAGGTTTCTACAACACTGTCCCAGATTTCCTTAGCTGAGTTCATCCAGAGATAATGTTGACTAATCTGGGGCTGCATTGAATTCACGAGCCACCCAATAACAGTGTAGTTCTCTTGCATCCATTTTTCATAAGAGGGATCATCCTCTGGGGGAGCCTTCTTGCTCCCGGAGATAAACCCCCACTTTCCTCTACTACAAATATGAATTTTCACAGATTGTGACCATGCCAAGTAGTTGGCTCCATCCAGTTTAACTGCGGTTACAGTCAACAAAGAGTCAGCTGGGGTTCCCAAAGCATGTCCATATTCAGCAACACTCTTACTCTCAACATCTGAGAAGTCCATCATGTAAAGGCTTCAATTAAGGTTTTGGTAWGCTTCCACTAGTGTACTGATTGTTGATGAACTCAGATTGAGTTAAATCAGCAACAAGCACAGCCACCCACAAGGCCAGTTCAGACCTGACAGCCGTGAGAATCAAGTTCGGTGGTAGCTCTTTCAAGAAGAAGAAGGCCTGATTCAGCCTTCAAGAGATAACCAACAGACCTCCAAACACTATGTACCCGATTGGAGTCCCTTTCTAGTTAGGGATTCTAGGTTCCCAACAATAAGTGCCCCCAAGAGAGCAAAAACACAGTCCACAGTACTTAAGAGGCCTTTTTACAAACACTTTGTATGCAGTAGTGAACACCCCACTGTTAACAAGTAAGAACCACTTCAAGAGCAGTCCGTATAGGTCCAAGAAGCAACTGAACTGAAGTAGAAACTCGTACCACCGAGTCCAAACAAGTTTCGGCCACTTGGCAGTCCAACAAGATGAGAAACTAACCCAGAAATCTCTGAGTTAAATCAGGCCAACAACAGCCGAACAACAGAGCAGATTTAGAGGGGTTTCGAGCACTTTAACAGTCCCCACAAATCAGAAAAACAACCCAGTAATATCTGAAGCAACTTACAGTTGTATAAATCTCTGATTTGAGCTTCAAATCAGGCCGAACATTCCTTCTCTCTGATTCTTCCTGGTCACCGAACTATTCTCCAAGCGAATAGAGCCTTGGGCACCCTCCAATGACCTCCAAGAATCAGACGAATGAGTCTAAACTTCTAGCCCTAGATCACCCTCATGCAGTCGGCTGGAATATACCCACATGAGGGCCATGCCAAGCTCAGGCCTGCTCTGATACCAAGTTGAAAACAACCCTTTGAAGTATGGGACTGTGTAAGATTAGATGAAAACCAGAAAAAAACAAACAAATGAGAAGATAAGAGAGAGAGAGCTGGCGGCAAGGAGTGTTAGAGGATGAGAGTTTCGAACTAACTCTCCCTCTAACACTCTAATACAATTTTATTAAGTTGATTCTTGAATAATTACAAGAGAGGCCCTTGGTTGGGCAAGAAATTACAAAAAACACAGCATAGAAGAGTATGGGCCCAGAATAAGGCCTATTATAGAGAAGAACATAAATATAACATAGAATAACAGCCTATGGGCCATTCGGCCCATCTTCTCTACAGAGACCTTTGCTCCTGTGGCAAAAATGACTACCGTTAGACTTCTTCTAGCCATCTCTGCAGCTAAAAACTAGACAATTCATCAGATGGATATCAAGAATGCATTCCTACATGGAGAATTGAAGGAAATTGTTTACATGAAACCTCCTCCTAGATATTGTAGAGATCCACATCTTGCCTGTCCTCTCAAGAAGTCTTTGTATGGTCTGAAACAAGCACTTAGGGCTTGGATTTAAAGATTCTGATCTGTCATCACTGATGCTGGATTTGTCCAAAGCTCCTTAGATCATTCACTAATTACCTTGCATCGGGATCAGGGTGTGACAATTCTTCTCCTCTATGTTGATGATATAATCACTATAAGAAATGATGTAGGAGTGGTTGATTTGAAACGACTTCTCAATGAATCATTTAAGATGAAAAATTTGGGTCCCTTAACCTACTTTTTGGGACTAGAGATGAGCCGTTGTTCTCATAGTTACTTTGTTAACCAACATAAATATGCAATGGACCTTGTCAAAATGGCTAACTTCAGTGAATCCAAGACTGTTGATACTCTCTTGGAGATTAATCTAAAACTTAGTAAAGGTGATGGTTCTTATTTTGAGGATCCTACTCTCTATCAACAGTTGGTGTGTAGTCTAATATATCTCACTATGACTCGGCTGAACATATCTTATGTAGTGCAAATTGTGAGCCGGTTTGTGTCCTTTCTGCCACAACCACATTTATCTGCACCTCATCAGATTATTAGATATCTACAGGGAACTTTATCTCACGACCTGTTCTTCTCCTCCTCATCTTCTATGAGCCTCACGGCTTATGTAGATGCTGATTGGGCTGGTTGCCTAGACACTCGACGATCCACTACAGGCCCGTGTGTCTTCCTAGGCAACTCTCTCATTTCTTGGAAATGCGAGAAACAATCTATAGTATCAAAGTCCTCCACTGAAGCTGAATACAAAGCTACGTCCTCGGTGTGTAGTGAAATTATATGGCTCCGTGCTCTTCCACATGACATACTACATGAGCCACCACCCTCTGTTCCCCTCTTTGCAGATAATGTCAGTGCAATAAAAATTGCACCCAACCCTGTCTTCCATGAGCCCATAAAGCACATCGAAGTTGATTTCCACTTCATTCATGATCTTCTTCATGTTGGTAGTATTTCTCTTCCCCACATGTTGTCCTCTAGCCTCCAACTTGTTGATCTATTGACCAAGGCGATGACTCGAGCATGACATTTATTTCCCATTGACAAACTGATGCTTATTTCTAGGCATCAGTTTGAAGGGGTGTGTAGAGAGAAAGAGAGTTAGCTAAGAGGGCTATCTTTGTAACTTTATTGTACTCTAGTTTCTCATGTATACTACCTATGTGCATACTAAGGACAGTTTGGTCCTTTTACCTTTTAATATAAATATCTTTTCCTTGGGTGTCGACCTCACTTTTGACACACCCACAAATCTGCTGTATTTTCTATCTGTTTTACTTTCAAATCTGTCTTTGACAATATCAAGAATAGACGAAAAATCCAAGACAAAAGATGATCTATCAATATTTTCAAATTCGGGATGAATTATCAGACAATCCAAAATAACAATCCAATATCAGCATTCTATTATCCTGACTTTTCTCCTTCAAATTGCCTGATTTCTCTCTTCGAATTCCCAATAGACCTCAAATGAGATAATGCTCCAAAATACTCCAAAAATTGTATCTTTTTACTTCCAACAATGACAGCAGAAAATTTCTTCATTTAGTTCATGTGTCAGCTGAAGTAGGAAAGTTATTCCTTTTCCCACAAAAATGCTCCTAACCATTCCTATCTCCAAGATAATCATAACCATTATTCAGAACTAAAAAGTAACAAAATGGTCTTGTTTCCAAGCAACTGATGGAACTAAACCTGAACCAAATATAAGTGGTAATCATGCACATCCACATGTATCTAGATTCAAGATATGCAGAATTGACCCCTTTGTGCACATCAAACACATCGAAAATAAGGAATTAGTGTAGGAAAGAAATGCCATCTTCTCTCCTTTTTTCTTTTGATTAGTAAAACAAACATTCTTTTGTGTTTGTGTGTGTCTGGACTATTGGAATATAGACTTTAAGGGAAAATGGATCAATACCATATTACCAATATAATATTTTGTTTCCCCCAAAATTGGAACTAGTGAAAAATGAAAGAAATAGGCTCTGCCAAAAGTTTTCAAATGTCAGCAGGTGGGAAGAGGATGCTCACATCTCTATAATCCCCAGTGAATAGAGAATGCAAATAAAATTATTGTGAACACGGTAAAATGCAATAGAAAGGAAAATAACCAGATAACTGAAAGAAACTCACTACTTACCTTCTGCTAAACACTTGATGAATAGAAGACATCAACCAGCTTCGATCTTTTTCTTGATATCTATCTTCAAGACTGGAATCAGACCCACCCTCCACAGCACTGTTGTCAATGTGATCATCAACCATAAAATTTATTCTTTTCGTCGTTATCTGAAAGAGGCGCAATTGAAAATTTACCATGTATCTGAAAGAAATTTTATATCCCTTTTTGTACCATATTTGTAGATATGCAATTAGCAACAAAGGTGTCATTGAAATTGAAACTTTTTGTTAGTTCCCTTCCATCTAATCCCATGTGGATTCCACAGTAGTCATGTGAAGCACAAAAAGGAATGCATCCTCATCTGGTAAAGAAAATCTTTTTTTTTTTTTTCTAAAATCCAGCTATATTAGACAGTGGCTCATATACAAATTCCAGACACATGCTAACATTTCTGCGAAAACAAACTTTAATTTTTCCATACCATCTATTTTGACTTTACTTATCAACACCTTTTTCATTGTACTATTATAATATATCACTTATGTTTTTCAAATCAATTTAGTATCACTTATTTTTATGTACATAAGTATATTTGAGTATATTATTTTCTATGCTTTACTTCAAGAACCAAACTATCTTGGAAGTATATATATATTATTAAAAGTGTGAAAACGAGAGTGTAGAATTTTTGTTTTACTAAAATACCCTAATTTTTTCACTTGGTCCCTCTCTAATTGTATAAACAGAAATGTACAGTTTTCCCCTCATTCAAATCCCTCTCATTAAGTCTTATATTTAAGGTATTAATACCCATTAATATTTCTTTAATCTTTTTATTGACTCGAATACTCCTGTTTTAAATATGGTCACTCTCTAATTGTGAGGGCACAAAGTGTAACTTGAACTATTACATTTCTCCTCATTCAATTCCTTCTCATTAAGTCTTTATGTTTACGGTATTAACTCTCATTCTTTCATTGAATCCTATATTAGTTAACCATATTAAAGTAAAACAAGTGTGACAAAGAATAATTGTTTTTACTGATGATAAAAATAAAATACAAATTTAAGACCAACCCAAAAATGGAGTTGTTTTCCTGTTTGGTGGCAGGTCAGCAATTCAACCTTTTGGGTTAAATGTGTCAACCATTGATTTCATAATTAAATAATAATAAAAAATAAAAAACAAATGAAAACATTTTGGGAACAAATCTAATATTGTATACTATCATATTAAAAAAAATAAGTGTGACAAATAAGAATAATTCTTATAGATATACAAATGTAAAATTTATAGAAAATTTTGGAAACACATTATTTACTATCATCATCAAAAATTGCCACATACAAAGCACGTGCACAGTTACTAGTGTGGGTGTGTGTGTGTGATGTGTTCCTTAAGTTTGTTAACTGGATGGTGTATCAGACAACAAAATATTTATCCATATCTATGACTCTTGAATGAGATAGACTCATGCATGAAAATAAATGTTAATTCAGCCCGAATGATATACCAAACTTACTTGAAAAGTTCCTTGGATGACTCTCAGTGGACTGACCATCGATGACGGAAGTTCAAGAATGATTCTTTCATCAAGTTCACTAGGAACATACCCAAGCGCAATTGCAGATGGATGTTGGACTAAATGTTCATTGTTAGAAACTTGAGCATCACTAGAATCAGTTTTTTCCTGTATAGGTTGCTCCGTTGGTGTGGACAGCCTTTGTTGACTATCTCCACCCTCCTCCATATCATGTGTTCTACCATCCAAGTTATCAGTGTCTATCTGTTCATCATCTTCGTTTACATCCTCCATTGAAATTGCTGCTGCAACTACTATAGAACTAGTAGAAGGGCATATTACATTTTCCCTATTTTGCAGAGTTTGCAGATTATCTTCATAATTAGCAGCAGCACCCAAATGATCAGACCCCTTGTAATTCCTTCTCAGGCATCTTCTCATCCTTGAAGAACTTTCCATACTGTCTAACTTCCAGAATATCTGCACAGTAATAGTTTTGACAAAAAAATACCAATAAATCTAAGACGATGATGCTTAAGAGAGATCAGTTAGAGAAAAATAAATAAATGCAACAAAATGTAGAATAGTTCTTGGAAAATGTATTAGAGAATGAATTATTGACAACATACACGCTCAGGCTTAGATAGATGTTCTCCCAGTGGCCCAAAAAGGCCATTCATCTCCATCAAGCAGCGAATCAATTTGCGCCAAGCACGAATTCCAGTGGACAAACGGTGTCGATCTATAACAGAAACTTGGTTGCGTCTGTCAACCTGCCAAAAGGCATAAAATACCTAGCTGTTATATTAATTATTAAAAACATCTCCAGTGCAAGAAGCATTAGAGTAAGCATACCTCAGATCGTTCAATATTTCTTGCAAGAGCAAAACTTGTAACAAGGACTGCAACATATTTGTAACATAGAGCATTAAGATCTTTTCCTGAGACAGATTTTGTATCAACTGACTGCAAGCATTCCATCCAGGCAGTTCCCATGGCTTCAGAGATATTCCATCTCTTCACACGCTCCATATCACTTGCACTCCTACGTTGAGCAGATGTAGCCATAGCTACAGCACTCAGACCTCTTCCGGTACCAACCTTTGCAAACCTCTCAAGATCACGTGCAGCTGCCAATGCAGCAGCTTTTGCAGCAGCCTTGTCCTTAGGAGCTGATGTTGACCTGTCAGGTGTTTCCAGAGGCTTCTGAAAGCTTGAGAATGTGTGAAGCTTAGTAGACTTCCGCTCAAGCAATGACGAATCACGTCTAAGCTGTGTAGGTGGTGGAGGTGCTATAGTTTCACCACCACCAGCACCTGCAGCAATCATTGCCAATGCCATTGCAGCAGGAGGAGATGCAAAAGCTGCAGCCCAACCTGGTGATATCATGGCAAGAGCAGCCTAAAACAATTTTGACCAGAATATGTCAAAAAAATGCAGTAGGAAGCAAAATAAACTGAATGTTAATATAACCATAAAAACTCCAGAAATCTATGGATGGTCCACTAAAAAAAGGATAATGAAAGGTGATTCTTAATAGGGGATCCATCTATAGATTTCTGGAGTTTTTATGGTTATATAATAATCAATTATATTTTGATTATATCATCACAACAGTGACATACTAGAATTATAGTTTAAGAACTAAAATTGGCAAGTGAAAACTGTCAGGAAAATATCATCCAAAAGAAGTGGTAGAACAGGTAACAAAATCTCATAAATGAGCGCATAAAAAGAAAAGATTTACATGCACTGGAGAAATGCCTATTTAGGAGATTTTATGTTCAATCACCTCAATAGGCAGTGCATCTGCAGCCAAGGCACGATTATCAACAACGAGAGGATTTAGAACATCTGAGGAAGTAAGCTCATGAATTCCAGCTAGTAGTGGGCGCCACCGCCTCAAAATGGCAACAAATGGGGGTAAAATGGCCTCCAGGTATTGTTTACGAAGAGGTTTCCTATCCCTACTAATAGCATGCCAAACCTGCATCATACAAATCAATCATTAGAAAAAATTTTATCTCAAACAAATTACCTGAAACAGAAGTCAAATATCCAATTTTCACAATAAGGTTTAAGGGCCAATCAAGGGTGACAACACTAAAAAACTAGGGCAAAAAATGTAATAACTTCAGAATAACGCCAAACTAATACAATCTATGAGAAAATGAAGCTCAAAAATGGTTTTTGACAATGGAAAAGACAACCAATTATCAAGCTTTGATTATTTAATTATTCCGAAATCAGAAGCATCTTAGAGATGTCAGATTCAGATACAACCATGGTTCATAATATTAATATCAACAAACACTTCACCACGTAAAGTTGGAGAAATTTTGGAGATGTTTTTCTAATTTCACTAAGATATTTGGAAAATCTAAAAATTCAGGAAAATTTTCTAGAAACATTGAATTAGTTAGTAAAACTTCAAGAGATCTTTACAAGAAATATAATTGCACATTCAAGGCTAAAAAACCAAAACAAAAAACTATATAGCAAATAGGAAAAAGTTAAGCAATTGTAATAGGTATGCTTCTCTTTGTCTCCCTTTTGGTCTTTATCCATCTTCTCTTCTTTATATATGTCAATTGCTTGCCATTTTAACTTTCGTCTTAATTTTTATTATATGTTTTTTATTAAATTGATGTTGAGTTTTGGGCTGATATCACTTGTTTTTATTTACATAACATGGTTAAGGAGTTATTGGGCCCAAGACCCATTAGTTTATGTTTAAGTTAAGAGTATTTACCTAGATTTTATAAGAAGCCAACTTACTAAGGGCATACTAGTCTTTGTATTCAGTTTATTATTTATGAGTATATAAGCTAATGAAAGGGGTGGCCAGACCTAATTTTGGCTTCCCCCATTGTCTTCAATTTCTCTCCTCTTTTATTCTCTGCATAAACCTTCTTTTCTTCTTTCTAAACTTTTCTACTTGGTATCAAAGCCAATTTAGAGATTGTTTAAGCTGTTCCATCATGCAGCCCTAGATCAGCCAATTTCTTGATGAGGTAAAGGGCTGATCGAGAATTTCAGGTAAGCCTAGTTTTTGGATTTTTTGGTGGATTTGCAATCCCTTGTATCTGGTCTAAGGTTTAGCGCCAAAATCAGGAAGAACTAGAGAAAGGGAAAGAGTACTAATTTAGTAGGACTCTTCAATTTTGACCTAGGAAGTGGCACTCTAGCTTTTTAGGGTTTCTTGAGTTTTTCTAAAGAGGGTGGTTCAAGACCCAACCTTTCTAGAGGCCTCTAGAGGGAGCGACAACCTCTTTTCTTATTTCTACTCCCATAGAAAAGGGAATCTTTGGAGAGAAGGGCTCCTAGGGTACCAAGAAAGTGTTTGAGGTTTCTAAAGGAGACAAATCTCTTTCTTCTCATATCAAATTGATTTCCGTATCTGTTTTGGGAGTTATGGAGGGTTGTGGAGTTAAAAACAAATTTGCAGGTGAAATGGAACCAGGGGAGGAAGTACTAGAGATCTCTTCGGGGTTGAGACCACTACAGTCAAGTTGGATGGTACAAACTACTTAGAATGGTCACAATCTGCAAAAATGGCCATTGGAGCTCGTGGGAAATTGGGGTATGTCACCAATGAAGAAAAGAAACTTGAGAGAACTACACCCGGTGGGTACAAGAAACTATATGGTGATGACTTGGTTGTGCAATTCCATGTTACCCCATATAAGTAAGAACTTTCTATGGGCTAACACAACAAAGGAGATTTGGGATAGAGCAACAGAAACTTATTCAAAGAATGAGAATGTTGCTAGAGCCTACTAGTTGAGGAACCGGGTGATTGCTACTAGGTAGGGAGATAAGTCTATTGCCATTTATTTTTCAACCCTCAAAACCTTATGGTAGGAGATAGATCATTAGGAGACTATGGTTTGGGAAAGTAGCAAAGATGTAGCAACTTAACAGAAGTTAAATGAGAAGAATAGGGCTTTTGAGTTTCTAGCAGGACTTAACCCTGAATATGACATTGCACAATAACATATTCTTTCCCAGCACAGTGTAACTCTCTCTAGCATATGCCTTTATTGTGAGACAGTGTATGCCCTTAGCTCCAATCAACATGATGTACATTATGCCATTTATTGTAAATGAATAAAGTACATATTTGATTCATGTTATTATGGTATGTTTCTGTGTAATACCCTTAAACTGGACACATATGAGACTCGTGTTAGTTTAGAATCTTCACAGCCGTTGGATAAATCTAGGGATATTTATCCTGCCAAGGCTGACACTGATGTACCACCAAGTTGGTTGGGGTGGTTTGTCTCAACTGCCAGGGTGAGACCTGAAGTACATGTAGTGTGGGTTTTCTTGAAACCCTAAACCGGACCAAAATTCCAGTATTGCCCTGGACATTGGAGATAGATGGGCAAAACTAGAATGTTACACCTGACCCCTAGACTTGATTATAATACTGCACTAGGTGTCGGATTGGGCTGTCTTTGATATTCCAATCAGTGAGATCCTTAGAGGGGGTCAAAACCTGGGTATGTTGGGACAATCCGAGAATTCATCTGAGTGGGTGATCATAGTGACAGGATCAGCCCCTTTGTCAGACAAAGGAAATGATCGGGGATGCACTCTCTCTGATGGAAACNTTGTCAGACAAAGGAAATGATCGGGGATGCACTCTCTCTGATGGAAACCTAAACTGCCGGCAGTTGATTTCAACCGTTGAAATTTGGTTTTGCAAAATATATTTATATAGAGATATACTTATATATATTATGGTTTCAAAATGTTTGCAAAAGGTTTTAATTCCCGGGATCCATGTGAGTAGAGAGTGCAGCACTGTACCTTGTAGCCGAGGGAGAGGTCCTCTCTTGTCGGGCAATGTTTGATCATTAATGACTGAGAGGTTAAGTGTAAGACCATTGATGGTTATACCTGATGGTCTAATCTTGCACCTGCCCACAGTCCTTGGGCCTTCATAAGATGGCTGCACCCAAGGACCACTTAGTGTAAATGTTGGGCCCATTAAGAGCCCATGGTGATAGACTCGGGGGTTCACTATATTCAGTAGTGAATTCAGCCAGGCCTTGTAACAGAGGCTAGGTTGAACCCATGTGGCTGATGTGTAGATCAATGTTAGGGTCCCGCCCATACAAAGAGAGCCAAGCTATCCAGCATTAAATAGGAAGTGAGCCTGAAAGCTTAATGAGCCTAAAAGCCCATTTCGAACTGAGTTAATTAGATTAAGTAAATAGGGGCGGATCTGGGATTTGGATCAGCAGATAAGATAAGGGATTATCCTTATCCACTTAAAGAGTCCAGATCCAATTAAAGATTTGGATCAAGGAACTCCTAATTTGATTAGGAAGGCTGATTTTTATCTGTAGATAAGATAAGGGATTATCCTTATCACTTAAAGAGTCCAAATCCAAATAAAGATTTGGATCAGGAAACTCTTAATGAGATTAGGAAGTTGTCTCTTTAAGGCTATAAAGAAAAGAGTAGGGTGAACCTTGAAGACACACTCACGCAATACAGAGAGAAGACAACTCAGTTAGATTGATCTTGCCTTCAGCTCTTTTTCTTCCTGTTCTTGCCGCCCTACCCTGTTCGATCTCCAGTTCTTGGATTTGATCAAGATTCGATCTTGATATTGTTTTTGCCAGAAGAAACAATTTAGAAGTTGTACTCACTATCCCATTCGTTTCTTACTGAAGAATCACTAGCTCTTTGTGAAGAACTACCTGCTGATCCTGCCTTATCCCAAGTTGTGTCATCTTCGGTGGAGGGAGGATTTGGTACACTCTTTGGGCGTGAACACCTACGTTGGGAGGAGCATTCTTGCGTCGATTCCGTTTCAGGTATGTCCCTCCCTAATTTTGGTTTCAAATTTGGTCCGGTTTGGTTACAAGAACGCACCTTGAAAATGTAGTTTTCTAAATTGGGAATAGGATTCCTAGATGGGAGTAAGGAAATTTTTGAAATTTCGCTCAACCTTCTTGCAGGGTTCGGCCATCCATATGATGGATCTCCCATCCCTTCATTTATGTCTGGAGAGGAGAGTAGGAGGAGTGTGATGATGAGGAATGCAAGCCTTGAGCAATCAGCTATGGTTAGCACAGTGAAGCCTAAGCCGAGTGGGGATAAGGGTGGAACTGAACCTAGGAATGAGGACAGGAAGGATCTGATTTGTAACTACTGTAAGAAACCTAAACATACTAGAGATACCTATTGGAAGCTTTACCCACACCTTATACCGAACCAGCTCAAAAACAAGAAGGGAAATGTGAATATGGTAGTGATTAGTGATTTATCAGGACCACCTACCACAACTTCTCTAGAGTCTGTTGCAACAACTGTAGTGAGGACCAAATTGGAGAGATATGGGGCAGTTTCTGAATCAAAGGGATACATACACTCCACAATAGAATAGTGTAGCAGAAAGGAAGAATAGACATATTGTGGAAGTAGCAAGAAGCATGATGTTGAGCTCTACAGTTCCAGTCTATTTTTGGAGTGATGTAGTTCTTATAGCAGTTTTCTTGATTAATCAAGTGCCTTCTCGTGTTCTTGGATATAGCACTCCGTTCAGCCTTCTTTTTCCTGAGGAGGAGATGTCCCATATTCCTCTAAGGCGTTTTGGATGTGTATGCTTTGTCCATGTTCTTGGTCCTCACCGCTTAAAACTGGACCCTAAGGCAAAGAAGTGTCTTCCTTGGGTATGCAGGAAATCAGAAGGGGTATTGTTGTTATGATCCAGTCTTTAGGAGTTGGTATGTTACTATGGATGTCACCTTTTTTGAGTCCACACCTTTTTTTCTTGGGAGGTTCTTCTCAGGGGGAGCATTTTGGGGAAGGAAGTAAGCAATCTATACACTTCTTGTTCTAATTCCTTTGTCCACTCTAGTGTCTGACCCACTTACTCCACCCACTTTGCCACCTCCATTATGTCCTACCTCTCAACATTTTACACGACAACGCCTACGAAAGCACAAGGAGGTTGATTCCATAGTA